TGGCTGTGGGTTTGGTTTTAAGTTTTGGGTTCCTATCCTTAAGTAGCGTTTTCAGACTATGACCTGCCTACTCATTTAAGTGAAAAAAACATCAATAAGGTGCTCCAGCAGTACAAACGAGACATAAAAGGAAGGAAGTAAAGTTTCATATAGCAGTATTGTGAACACTCAGGGATACTTAACCCTCGAGGCCAGGATGAGATTGTCAGCTGTTTGCATCAGTACATTGAGTCACTGGGACTGTGACAGCTACAGATGAAGCTCGTAGCTGGGGTACCAGGAGCGGGGTTGCCAGCAGTGCCACCAGCTTCTGAAATGGTGACCAACTCTGAAACAAAATTCTGAAGAAAACAGGGAACACTCTTGCCTTGATTTCTGTGGTGGTTACTTCCTCCATGGGAAAGAACTATGAGTTGAAAGTTCAGAGTTTAGTGGAACAATGCCAAAAGCCCTTGAGGTGCTGGACAGTTAATCGTTGTAAGGATTGACATCCCCCCATGGGAGCACGTCCGGTGCCCCTGACCCCAGCCCACTGAAGGGAGTGATATCCGTTGTGCCACCAAAGATGCCCCAAAATTCTCTCAGTGCTACCTCAGAGCAGTGCCACCTCTGGGACCATGGCTGCACTGGGGATGAGAGCGAGAGGAGGCTGGTGAGGTGGACGGGGCCAGGCTGGGAGTGTTCGCTCTAGATCCTGGGACAGTAGGGCCACCGGAAGGTTCTAAGCAGATTTGTACTTTCAGAAAGGTTGCTCTGGCTTCAGCACAGAGGAGGACCTGCAGTGTAAGAGCAAAAGCCAGGAGCCCAGGGGTCTGTGGCAGGAGCCGGATGAGTGACAACAGCAGCCTGGGCATTGGAGGCATCTTTGGGCTAGAGACACAAGGCTGAACTTGAGAGCCCTCAGGGAGCCAGAAGTGGCAAGATGTGAAGGCTGATGGGAAGGCAGTGGGAGCATTCTGGCTTGAGCAGTGGGCAAGGGGATGTGCCATTTGCTGAGAAAGCAGAGAGCAGGGCGGAGCTCAGACAAGGAGAGTTTGAGGCGTAAGAACCTGGGGAGCACAGTGAAGGCTGTGTCCACCGCGTCCTCAGCATCGAGGGACCTGCCGGAGGGGAACAAGCTGGCTGATGCCCTCCCCACTCTCAGGTCAGAGGCCGTCTGCTCCTTCAGTCTCAGCAGAGCCTTTCTGTTTGTTTTTTAAAATTTTTATTGTGATATGGGTGCAGATTTACCAGGCAGATTCGCTTTACTCTCAACATGTCACGCACATTTGGTTTCACAGCCCCAGTTACAGTCTGCAGCCATAAAAACCCTCCTCCCCACTCCTCCCTGCAACTGCCCCTCCCTGTGCCCTTCTTATCTGTGCATGCCTGTCTGTCCAGCTTTCCCTCTGTGTGAACGCTGCCCTTCTGATGTCTCAGGGCTGCTTGATCTAAGGAGTAGGTGTTCTGCACATAGGTCTTTCTTCTGTTTGACTGACAGCCAGTCCATGGAAGAGAGTCCTGTTTCAGGCCCTAAGGATAACCCAGGGCTATAGTCCTAGGGTCTCACCAGTCTCTATTGACCAGTAATTCCAGTCATTTCTGCATTTTTTAATTTTGTTCCACATTTTTCCTTTCTCTGTTGAGGTCCTCTCCCCAGAGTGAGACACAGCTAGACTTCAGGGCTGCAGCAACAGCTGTGTCGCAGCTGGGGAGCCACGGATTCAGCACCCACCCTTCCCTGACCTGGGCGCACCCGCCACGTGCTGGCAACCAAGGCAGCAGTGGTGGCTGAGCGCCTGGCAGGCCCCCCGACAGGACCTGGGCCCCAAAGCAGACACAGTGCTGGCAGCTAAACACTGGTGTGCCGGGGGGCTGTGTGAGCATGCCCCATCCCTCACCCCACTGACTCCTCCCGACAGCCTTCAGCTGCTGTTCCCACTTCATGGTCCAGAGATCTGAGATCACAGCTGGTCAAGGACGGCCTGGAACTGAACGCAGGACAGTGACGCCACACTCCCCAGGACTGTGCCTCAGAGTACCTGAGAGCTGCCTGCATGCCCGCCTCAGTGTCCTGCTCTCAGAGTCAGCCGCCAGTAGTCTGAATACGGGGTGTGATGTAGCGAAGGTTCCACTGGCTCACAGTCTGCCTGATATGTGAGGCCAAGCCACATACCGTGAAAGCCCAGTAGAGCAGGAGTACTGTTGGCCTAGTATCAAAAACTCAGCACAGATTCCTAGAGGTCGTGGTGGCAACGCTTGTGGATACTGTAAAGCCACCAGCAATATAAAGCCTGGTACCTGCCCTCGGAGAGCTTGCCGTCTGCTTGTGGACGTTTTAATAGACGTCATCACTGCTTTGTTGAAGTTGTTGGCCAGGGGTGTGTACCAACAGTGAGCACAAGAAGTGAGAGGTGGAGGGGACCAGTGAGCCAGAAGTGGTCAGGGTGGGCTGCCTGCAGGAGGAGTCCTTGCAGCATGCCTTAGCCGCAGAAGCATGCGGCCCCACCTCCCAACCCTCTGAGACATGCACATGCATCCTCCAGATCAGAAGCTAGGGAGTGTCCATGTTCTCAACAGCATCAGGACTACCTAGAATTGCTTGTCCTGTGTGCCTTTCTCCCAGCCCACCTGTGGGGACAGGTACACTCATTGGTCTCCCTGGTCAACAGGGCTGAGGCCCTGTGTGTAGAAGAGCCCTCAGCACCCTGGGCCAGCGGGCAGTGGTGGGTCGTCAATTCACGTGATGAATACTGAGCGACTTCTGTGCTGGAGCCTGTGCTTGACTCCCTGATGCCGTGTGGCCAAGAGAGACGAGACCCTGGCCTTCAGTAGATGTCAGTCAGGACATCACCGAGCACCTCGGTGGTACAGGGTCTCCTGCAAGGACGCTTGAAAGGAGGCTTGATGGGGGTGGCCTCAGGGCTGGCTTCCCGCAGAAAAGCGAGACTCACCCATCTGACTGCTTTCTTCATGCCAAGTCGCAGCTGGGAGCCTGGCCCTGTGGTTCCTGCCCTTACAGATCTGCCCGAGGGAGGCAGGGAAAGATGGGAGTTGGCCAAGGAGGATGGCGGGGTGGGGCTTGCGCCAGTTCCCAAAGAGCACTGCAGGCTGAGCCTGGGGCAGGTGGGCAACAGGCTGGTCGTGGTCGAAGGCAGCCATGGAAGGGTTTGAAGGGGTTTTGAAAGGCACCAGGATCCGATTTGCATTTTGAAAGAAGACTTCAGCTGCTGTAGAAATTACAGGGCTGGGCTGGGTGTTGAGCTCTGCTGGGGCTCAGGCAGGCGCCAGGAGCCTGGCAGCGGAGAATCCCAGGCTGCTCCATAGCGAGGCGGGTCTGGGAGGTGGAGCTGACGAGACTGGGGCTGTGTGATTGTGCTGTGGTATGGGATCGAGTGGTGTGAGGGTTGGCATTCACTGGGGTGCGTTTGGAGCGGGTCATTGAGTAGGGCTGAGCCTTCGGACCTGGAGCCGTGTGAGCCACCCTGCAGAGAATAAAGGGCTGAGCTGGGCGGCGGCAGTGGATGTCTGTCGTGGGCAGGGCTCAGCAAACAGCCCCGAGCGCCCGCTCACACCAGGCTCTGAGCCGGGAGCACAAAGATGGAGAAGCCGAGGCTCCCCTCTGAGAACTCACCGGTGAAGGGCCACCACGTGGGCTCACAGCACTGTCACTGTGGCAGGAGCACAGGCCGGGGGCCTTGGTTAGGCTTCCCAGAGGAGATGGCCCTTGAGCTAAGCCTCAAATGACAAGGGCAACAGCAGCAGAGGCCCTGCTGGGGAAGAGATCCACTTCAGTACTGTCCTTGGACAGCCCAGTCCTGGCTTCTGTGAGGAAGAACAGGCTGTGACAGCCAGGGAGGCTCTGGCCAAGGCCCAGGATGCTGTTGGGCACTTGCCTCTGTCCTTGGCCCGTCAGAAGCTGGCAGGGACCCACTGTTTGAACGCCTTCCTCAGCCCTGTTTTCCTAAGTGTCTCCTTTTTTGACTGTAAAGATTTGGGTCAGTACCTGAGTGCACCCAGCCCCTTCCCTCCTGAGCTGCTCTGATAGACAGCCACACCATGGCAGCGACCCTTGGTCATCTCCCTGTAAAGGCAGGTGTGACAGGCTGGGAAGAGTAGAGGAAGAGAGAAGAAGGTCCCTCCCTCGGTCTGAGGAAGAGATGAACACCTGCTCCCTCCCTTCGTCTGCCCTGCAGGTCTGGCTCCCAGCCATGAAGGCCAAGGGGCTGGAGATCTCGGGTACCTTCACCCGCCAGGTGGGCTCCATCTCCATGGACCTCCAGCTGACTAACAAGGCCCTGCAGGTCATGACAGACTTTGCCATCCAGTTCAACCGCAACAGGTGAGCTCCCTCCCTGAGGGAGGTCCACCCCTGACTGCAGGCAGGGCCTCAAGGGGCTGGTGAAAGTGGGTGTTCTCCACCACTGCCCGCAGGTCAGAGCTCTCAAGAGCAGTGACCCCAGTAGCCTCTATGTCATCTGCAAAGAATGAGGCAGAGAGGGGCGTGTTGGGTCACTTTTTTTGGGGGGGGTTCTTCCAGTGCCCAAAACAGGGTCTTACTGACAGAGCCCCCCAGCCCCAGCCCCAGCCTTGGGAAATAAGTTCCTCACCTCACCTGTCAAGAGGAGAGAGCCAGTCCCACACTGGTGGGAGCACAGAGCCGCCTCTCCCAGGCCTGAGTCACTCCCTGTCTCACATCTCGCGTTGGAGCCTTCAGAGTAGGATGGATATTTCTAGGCTGCCAGGGGGCGGGCCTGTCTGCCAGCCTTCCCTCTGAGACAGACCATCAGACAAGGCCTCAGAGTGGTGGCTGCCACCGGGCTCCTCACCCCACCGCGTCCCCTACACTGTCAGCTAGGAGGGGAGCCTGTCTCGGTCCCCTAGGGTCTTTTGGGGCCAGGCCACAGCTCCCCAGGGAACCAGCAGCCTCTCCTGATGATCCTTCTTCCTGAGCAGCTCTAGTGATGAGCAAACTGAGCCTCTAAGAAGTTGACTGAAGGGGCTGCTTCCCTAGTGAGAGCCGGTGGGGCAGTGGGACCCCCACCTTGGGTCAGTCTGGGGAGGATGGGGCAGCTCTGCCCCTTACCCTCAGGTGAGCCCCAGGTGGTCATCATGATCGTCACCTGTAACAAACGTACTGTGTCCAGGGCCTTAGAAAGGTAGTCTCATTCGAGCCATCTGGCAACCCAGTGATGTTGATGCCATTACCTCCTTTTAGTGGGTAAGGACACCTGAGCTCAGAGAGGGCGGGCATATTGCCTGGAGTCACCCTGAGGCCCAGGCACCGAGCTCTTCCACTCACCCCATAGGCTCGGCACATGCCTGCCCCTCCCTGGTCTCCATGTCATCTGAAAGGCTCTGACAGGAATATACCACAAACAGGATGGCCTTAACAAACAGTTTGTTCTCTCACAGTTTGAAGGTTTGAAGTCTAAGTTCAAAGTGCCAGGCTCTATGGGCTGGGTGAAAGCCCCTTGACCTTGGGCTTCAGCTCTGCCTCTTGCTCCCGGCCCGCTGAAGCTAGAGACATCTCTTCACTCAGGCAGCTACTGACTGCTGAGGCTAACAAGCCCAAGGTCGACAAATAAAATGACACGGTCCCGATGTTAGCAAACCACATGGCAGGCCATTAATTCAAATCCATTGAAAGTGCCAGGATCAGCAGAGCATGGCAGGCTGCTGTACAACAGCAAGGCTACATACAGGGTTCGAGTGTGCCATAAGCTAGAGACTGTTTCCAAGGCTTCTCCTTATA